AAATGCCTATCAACTGATGAATGTATAAAAAAGATGTGTTTTTTATATAATGGAGTATTACTCAGCTATAAAGAAGGATAAAATTGAAACTTTCTAGGTAAATGGATGGACTTTAAAACCATAATCGTAAGTGATAAATTGGACTCAGACCTGTAAATATTGCATGATCTGTTGGTGTGAGAAACTGAAAGTGTAAATAAGAACCAACTATTACAATAGATATTGTGAAATAGGAAGAAACTGTTCAAAGGAAAAGGGAACTAGGGAGAGAGGAGGGGGAGAGGAAGGAAGGGAAAGAGAAAACTGAGAAAAAGCAGATAAAATGAAAACAGCTTTGTGCATGGGGAGGGGGAGGAGGCTTGAAGGGAGGTGACGGGAATGGGGACAGAAAGAGGAATCAAGATACATCACATACAGGTGCAATTCCCTATGATGAATGTGATCAGTACATGTACCTAAATTGTACCAATACACTTAATTAAACTAAAGAAAAGTTATAGGACTGTCCCTTTTGCCAAGCTGTGGCCCATGAAAGTTGTAGTTGAAGGAACTTTTCATAGGAGTTTTTCGCCCACGCCTCAGGAAGTGAACCTGATTCCAGTCGCTTTGCACCTTCAGTTCTGGCACCTGTGGGAGCTGCACTCTCTGCTGCTGGAGCCTGCCGACTGGCAGAGGGTGCGCAGTAGGCTTTTGGCTTCAGCTCTGCTCTTCCCTTTCAGTTGTTTTCTGTTATTTATTTGGTAAAATTCTAGATGTAGAAACAAAAATATGTTACAAGCCATTTCTATTTTTAGCAGAAAAATGTTAAATTTTGTATTTATATCATAGCATAAAGTATGAAGTACGCTAAAAAAATTTTGGTGCATGCTGTTGTTGAGTGCCATCCATTCATGGGGAACCTGGAGAAGTCTTGTGTCTTGCTGCTTGTCTCGAGAGTATCAGAGTAATCAAATTTCTGATTTTTGTTCTGTGCTCCCGAAGCCTCTCATGCAGACATTGTGGTGATCCCTTAGTTGCTGGAGTAACTAAGGGACTATGTTTGAAAACCATAGTCCTCTCTAGGATATGGAGCGGTGTGTTGACTTTCAAACTCCACTGTGGGTGCTAGGGAGGGATGCGGAACCTGGGAGCCGAAATGCCCTTGGACGCTGCTTCTGAGACACAGACATCTGGGCTGGATGGTGGGACAGGCAGGGAGTGCCATGGCCGGGCCCTGTGGCCTCCTGGCCTCCCGTGGGTTTCCTCTGCGTCCTTGTTCACCAAACACAGCCAGAGGAGAAGGCATCAAGGGAGCATGGCATGAATCCATTCCATTTGCAGCACCTGTGAGTGTAACGTGACAGTTCTCAGGTAATCATCTGCTCATCGTCTTCTCCACTACACGTTGAATGCCACAAGAAAACTGATGTATGTCGAGCTTTGTCCACCAGACTTAGCACAGTGTTTGGTGTGAGCCATTTCATGAATACTGTATGAACCATAAATAATTAATGAGTTGGTGGTGATAGTTACTTGCTTGTCTTTGAATGAATTGGAATTTATTTGAATTAATTTTTATGGTAAATTACAACATCACTCAAGTTTATCTTTGTAGTAGTTTACAGACTGTTTTATTTATTTTATTTTTTTTGGTACCATGAATTGAACTTAGGACCTTGTGCTTTCAGGGTGGGTGCTGTGCCACTGAGCTATATGCCCAGCCTGAGACTATTTAGTAGAATATAATAGATACGCTCACTGATGTGCCAGTTCTTTGTTAATGAAGTTCTGATTTGTAGCTTTTTCCAGTGTCTGTAGTATAACTACCCTCATCACAGCTGATTTCAGGGTGTCCCACGTTACACTGTGGAACTCGGCATTGGGTGGAAGTGCACAAGAGGTTTTTGTGAGCCACTGACCGTTCCTGAAGGTCTTCAATGTCCCTGTCTTAGGAATGCATACCCCTCAAACACAAGCATTGTGCTAGTGATGCACATCCAACCAAGTATGTATTTTAAGAGACTTACTGGTTACGGTCATGCTGTCATCTATGAAAGACAAAGTCAGATCTTTGTAGCTCACGGTGAGTGTATTTCACCTTTGTGACATCTGTGCTGCTATGGCTGACTAGTGGGGGGCTCTCCACCAAGCTCCCACACAGGCTTCCATGCTCCTTCTTTCTGTGGCCCCTTGTTTGCTAAGGTCTTGGACATGCTGATGGCCTAGGAGAGATTTTTTATAGGTCCTGGAAGGGGCACAGGGTGTTCCGCGTATAATCCATTGGTTAGAATGGAGTCACGTGGCCACACCCACTGCTAACTGCAGGGAAGTTGCAAAATGCAGTTTCTAACAGGAAAACAATCTAAGCTTGTTGAGTATCTAGCCAGAATCTTCCACAGTTTTCTGTGGTAGGGTTACACGGATACATTTACACTCTTCCACCTTATTCTCTGACAAATACATTTATAAACGAGCTGGTAATGAGTGGAGTCCGGTAGATTCTTTCTGAGCAGTTAACTGGATCCTATGAGCTTGGGCTGTGGGCTCGTTAGCACCAGTTTTCATCCATAATTCTTCCTTTCTTTAAATTACTTTATTATTTTTATTGCCATTGAGACAAAAATCACAGATTTTACAGACTTCTAGATTCCTTTAAATTATTGAGGTCACCTAATAATTTTTTGGTTTTGCTGTTTTGACTATAACTCTTTTTTTTTGGTGTTTTTGAGACAGTGTCTTGCTATGTAGTTCAGGCTGGCCTTAAACTCACAATGTAGTCCAGGCTGGCTTTGAAATTGAGGCACTCCTCCTACCTCAGCCTCCTGAGTGCTGGGATTACACATGTGCCGTTATTTGTTGCCTTCTAATGCTTACCATTTTTAAAAAAGATATTCAGATTTTTTCTCCCTTCCCACCCCACTAAGGATGTTTGTGCAATGGCACCATGTGACAAATTTGGGCCATTAGAGACTGTATCTTTTAATGGTGCTGTACTGCTTGCACAAAAGAAAGGTACCTTGCATGTTAGACTATGAAGACACTAGGGGCTAGCAGTTTAGGAAAGACCAAATGATCTAGTCAGAAAGAGGTTCTCAGTGTGAAGTACAGAGACTTTGTGAAGCATATTAACACACGAGTCTTTAATAGAACTCGAACATCATCTTTCATACTTGATACATATTCATATTAATATCCACTGCATATTAATGGATGAGGAAAATATAGCCCATCCTACTTCCAAGCCTTTTCTCATTTTGGGTCACACAGAAATGGTACTATTTGTATAATCGGTACTTCACACTGTGTGAACTGAGGCCGTTGCTCATGGGCTTGTTTGGCCTTACCCAGCCACTCTGAGGAGGACGTTTGTAACACATTCGACATACTGAGCTGAGAACCTCTGTCGTGGAACAGTGGCTGTCATACTCAAACACTGGTGTTCTTCACAAGCTTAAATCACATGAATTCTCTTATGTGAGAAACCCAAAATAAAGAGCAAAATAGGAAATATCTAGGTAGAGCTTGTGTAGATGGAGATTGGGGATCAAAAGGTGGAAGGAAAGAGGGGAAAGGTATAAGACATAGAATTGAGACATGTTATGTACGTGTATCGCCTCCCCACAAAGAGTGTTACATCGGGTCCTACAGATGTGTACTGATAAAAAGTTCTTAGTGTTCTATGCTTGGCAGGATTTTATAATGCTAATAAAAGGTACAGTTCTTGTCCCTGTAGCTTAAAATTTACTTGGAGAAAAAAATGTATATACAATTTAACAAAAGAAAAAATAATAAAAAAAGATCAAGTACAATGTGGTATGATATGAACTATACAAACAGTAGGAGCTAAGATAATGGAAAATTCAGTGATTACTTATGTGATACTTTATAAAAAATCATTGTTTCAGTTGGAAACATGTTGAATCTTTTACTATGATTATCATTATTGTTATAATTTATTTGTGAAAAAATATTTAGTAACATGGAGAGCTGGATAAGGTTCAATATTTAACACAGAAGGTCAGCACTCACTTGATATCTGAACTTGACTTTTATGGTAGTATTTAATTTTTTTCTGATTAACTGAAAAAGATTTTCTGGAGAGTGTGAAGTTTTCTGGTTAGACAGATATTAATTAAAAGGTAAAAAACATCAAGAATAGAACAGTTATTACTAGCGGCTGGGGACTCAGGGAAAGGACCGTTACTTTTTAATGAAGTATAGCTTTTAGTCTTGCAAGAGATGTTTGGAGATCTATTTTGTGACAGTATGGATATATTTAATATTACTGAACTGTGCAGTTAAAAATAGTTAAGATAGTAAGTTTTAAAGTTTTTTCCCACTGTAAAAATTAAGTGTATTACTATAAATTTTGTGCAGTTACCAGGTTTTTATGAAAGGAACAATATTCCTAGCTTTATTTTAGCCATTAAGACCTATTTAAAAGAAATAAAATTCCATCAAAAAGCACCTGATAAGATTGGTGATAGATTCCTCTAATTTACTAATTTACTTGAAGTCTAACATGTAGCAGGTATTTTGCTAGATATTTTATATAAATTATTTTTAATCTTCAAATAACATCAGAAAATAAATGATCACTTTTATCCTCTTTTATCCACTTTTGGTTTTGTTAGTGAGGAAACTAAGTGTTGTGGATAAGAAGGTCTATTACCTTGCTTGAAGTTGAAAAGTTTGTTGGACTCAAGTACTTCGCTTCAAAATCCATTTTCTGTATACACCATACTTCTAATTAAATAAGAAAGAGTACAAATAAAAACTAGTAATTTGACACTCTAGTTTGGTATTTCTGCTGTCAGTAAGTGTTGCTCATTTCATTATAATTATTCTGACAAAATTAAAAGAAAGGATAAATTACTTAATTTATAGTAGCAATTATCTGGATTGCGTTTTAACTTCAGAAGGACAACCATATAATTTCTTTTGGCTTGAATTATTGTCTTTTTCGATTGTTTTTAACATTTAGGAATACTAATTTCTTTTCCCTTTGTCTTCATGTTCAGGTTATGTGGGTATGTAATTTGTGCCGAAAACAACAAGAAATCCTCACTAAATCTGGAGCATGGTTCTACAATAGTGGACCTAATGTACCGCAGCAACCTGATCAAAAGGTTCCCAGAGGAGTGAGAAATGAGGAAGCGCCTCAGGAAAAGAAAGCAAAGCTCCATGAGCAGGCGCACTTCCCAGGACCCCCAGGTGACTCTGTACCTGCAGTGGAGAGGAGTCGGTCTCACGGGCTCACAAGACAGGAGTCTATTAAAAACGGGTCAGGGGTGAGGCACCAAGCTGCCAGTGACACCGCTTCTGACAGGTAAATGTTTTACTTAATCTTGAGGTAGACATGTCATTTTAAATGTTGATTCCAAACAGAAATGGAAATGTGGGAGATGTTTAGGTGACAGTACATTACCTAAACAGAATGGAAATCTCTTTGTTCTACGTCAATGCTAAGGCGATGTTGAAGGCTTTAGTTATGATGGGTTTACACTATCTTATGCTTGGTATGGAACTGTTATTAGACAGATTTCCCAGAATAAAAAAGTAAGTAAAACAGGGTAACAGGTTTTGTTGTTTTAAATTGAAACTTGACTGGGAAGTATCTCATAGCAGCCTTGATTTGCATTTCTTGATTAAAGACACAGGACACTTCTTCCTGTGTTTAGTAGCTGTGCTCACATATTTTCTTTTGTGAACTGTGTATTTTACTTTTTTGGTACTATTTAGGTTTATTTTAAAGTTTTGAACTTTTGGTGTGCTTTATAATCCTTTTTAAGATGTATGCACTGAAAATACCTTCCCTTGAAATTTCTTGAGATATAACGTGGTTAAACAGTTTAACAGTGTTTTTTGATGGGCAAAAACTTTTATTTTGCTGTCTACTGTGTTATTATGCCGAGGGGCATCTGTGTCTTATCTCAGAAATCATCGGCTACCTGAAAGTCTGGAAGATGTCATACTTTCATTTTTTCTAACAGTTTTATAACTTTAGCCTAAATCAAGAACAACACAATATTCTCCTGTGTTTGCCTGTAAGAAGTTTTGTACTTTGAGATTTTACATTTAGCTCTATGATCCATTTTTTACTTAATTTTTGTATGATAAAAGGGTATATGCTTCAAGCATTCTTTGAAAAAATTTGCATGTGTATAATCAGTTGTTCCAGTACCATTTATTAAAAAGAGGATCATTTTTGTACTGTGTTGCCTGTACCATTTTGTCAGAAGTTAATGATCTGTGTTTCAGTGGGTCTTTGTAGAGGGTCTCCTTCCGTTCTGTTTCATTGATCCATCTTTATGCTAGTACCACACTGTTTTGGTTACTGTAGTCTTTTACTGTCTGCAAGTAATGCTAGAACTCTAACTTTATTCCTTTTAAAAGCTATTTTGATTACTCAAACATTTCTGTTTAAATTTTATAGTCATTCTCTAAGTGCAGTTTTGATTTATTTTTCCATGACTTTGTACTTACTCACACAGAAGTACATCTGTTACTTCTAAACAATAGAAATAGCATAAAGTGAATTTCTTATAAGCATCATATAGTTGGATCTTGTTTTATAAATCTATTCAGATAGTTGCTATCTTTTCATTGTAATACTTAATCCCTTTTCATTTAAATAATTACTTATTGATAGGATTATTTTATAATAGTCATTTTGTAGCTTGGTTTCTAGTTTTATTATTGTTTTTCTCTCTGTCTGATTTACTTATTTTTTAGAATTCCAAGTAAAAATGGTATATTTATAGTTTCCAGTATGATGTTTTCACATATATACACGTCGTGGAATGGGTAAATCAAGCTACTTAACATATTTATTACTTTGTGTATTTATTTTTGTGATGAGAAGACTTAAAATCTACTTTTTAAGGGCCTGGGGATTTAGCTCAGTGGCAAAGTGCCTGCCTGGCAAGCGCAAGGTCGTGAGTTTGGTTCCCAGTACCGGAGAAAAACCAAGAAAAAAAAAATCTACTTTTTAAGCAATTTTCAAATACATAATACACTGTTATTAACTGTAGTCATCAAAAAGTATAATACTTCTTACCAACATGTTCTAATTATATATATTAATGGAACCTAGTGTGCTGTTTACATACATGCATGCAGTGTGTACTTCTCCTTCTGTGGTCTTCCTTTATGGTTAAATGATTTAATTTAAGAGCTTTCATTCCTTATGATTTTTGGCTTGTTTATTTTGGACGTTTGCTTTGTGGTCACCATAAAGCTTTCAAAAACATCTTTTGATTATAAGAAGCCATTCTAAAGCAACAGCTCTACATCATGGCCATAAAGATGAGAAACTGAGAAAGACAAAATTTTTAATAAGCTCAACACTTGCATTCTGCTCAGGCCCACGTTTTGAATTTTTGATGCCCCATTTTACACCTTCTTGTATTTTTCATTCCTTAACCTATTAATGGAGTTATTTTTGCTTTAACTTTTTGGGTCCTAGTACTAAAGAAACGGATGATTGATGTGCCATGTGTATAACATTAGAGCGTTCTGATTTTGTCTGTGTAGTTACTCTCACCAGCGAGTTTTATACCTTCTGTTATTTTCTCCTGACTCATTATTGCCTCTTTCAGTGTGAAGATCTTTCACTAACATTTCTTTTTCTTTTCATAGTCACTTTCCTTCCTCCCCCTTACTGTTTCTGCACCAGAGGGTGACCCAGGCCCAGCTTTGTTCTAAATCTAGTTAATGTGGTCAACGTAAACGGGGGGTATACGTACGGAAGCTAGTCTGTCCCCCAGGTCTCTGCAGCAGGGTAGACCAGAGACCTGCTCAGTCAGGGGCCTGTGGTAACACTGTGCCTGCTGCCTGGCCCTGCTGCTGTCTTTGAGTAAGTACCGAGGAGGGGCTAACTCCGCATTCCGGTGTCGTGACTTGGTACCCTTGCCATTTCCCCCCCCCACGCAGACAGTGACTCTCTATGTGCTTGCACTTGTGGGAGGAATGGGACGGGCAGTCCTGTGGCCCCCAGCACTGCAACTCTGTCCCACGCAAGCCCACAGCCTGCCGAGGCCAGCCCAGAACTGCGGTAGTTCCCAGGCCCACGCTCCTGTGAGCTGCCTCCCGCTGGGGTGGGATCATGGCCTGGAACGACAGGCAGTCACAGGAGAGTGCGGTGGGAACAGAAGGCTGATAGACTGGGGCTCCTATCTTGCCTGTCACTGGAGCTGTTCTAGAAGCTCCATTCCCTGGCACCGACCTGAAGATGGGGGCCTTTAGGATCTGCCTGGTGTTTGATTTCACCAGTCTAGCACTGAGCTATAAGGAAAACTCCTATGTTTACTACTCTACCCCACCTCCAGTGCATGAAGTCTTACTCGATGTTTTGCTACCGAAGTTAGGTAGTTTGGGTGAAGGCAGTCCCTTGGTCATTTAGAAAAATAAAAACCACCTCTTGGGGAGTATTGTGCACTTCTCCCCATCTCAAGACTGTAACATGATTCTCATGAATTTTATTTAAAGTTGTTATCTTAGATATGTAGTGAGAAAAAATAGCATGAACATGAGGGAAATAACAAGACGTAAAGGGAAAATATTTTAAAGAGGGAATCCAAGTATGGTTAAAAAAAGATTAAACTATGAGAACTAGAGAACTAGAAAAGGCAAAACTCTGATGATTAACATAGGAGAAAAATAATCTTAACTTGGAAATAAAGAGCCTCCTAACCTTTATTCCCTGATATTTCTTCCTATACTTTTTAGATTATCAGATAAAACAAAAAGGCAGCAAAGATGCCTATGCATTTGGTAACTACTCTCAGTGAATTACGCACATTCAGTAAGTACCAGGCACATGTGATGAATAAGCAAAGGATGTAATAGCGTATTTAACATGACTGACGTCCCTTCTGCAGCATCTTCATCTGTTATTGACGGAATGACCAATCCGTGCACTTGAAGATGAATAATGACATGTTCTCACACAACCAAGAAAGTTTGTGTTAGTGTCTCTTTCTGTTTCGTAAGAATCTTTTTAGTTTATGTCTTGAACTGAGTGACTATTTCGAGGATACTAATACACAGTGTAATAATTATTATTATTCTCTCATTTTATTATGAATATGTTTCACTTTTTTCATAAAATGAAAAGAAAAAGGAATATGATGTGAGCTTTGAAAGATGAAGTGTGTTTTTAAAAGTGATGTTAAAAAGTTTGTATATTATCATAGATGTTCTCTAAATGTACGAATATGTATATATTTATAAATTACATATACATGGAGATACATATATATTCCTTTAAAGCGATAGCGTACTGTATCCTTTTTCATGAGTGTCTTTCGTTGCACTGTCATTGATGCCTCAGGTCCTGAATTGGTTCAAAACGTTTCCCTTTCACGGTCATTGTGGCTTTAGGGAAGAGCCAGGAGTCTCACAGCGACAGATCCAGTGAATAGGGGGATGAGGCCACACAGTAATGTTTCTATTTGACAGAAATTACCATAAACAAGTGATCAAAAACAAGGTGATAAAAATATGATGTGTTTAAATACAAAAATTATTACAGCAAAGGAACACATCAAAATAGTCCCCCTTATTTTGAACACTTATTTTGTCATTCTTGGCAATGTAATAAGACTTCTTAAAAATTTAAGCATTCAATGTATGTTTTGATCACGCCATGTATTTATAGTATTTTAGACTTTTTTTATTAAACAGCATATGTTGATCTTTCTTTACCATTCAAAATAAAGTGCTTCATCTTAATTTTTAGTGGATATATCATATTTATTTAGTCTCTACTGATAGACCGTTAGAGTATTACCTTGCTTTTGCTATTTCAAAGACTTATCATCACTAATCTTGTGTGTATTTATAATTTTTCATAGGAGTAAATCTGTCCAATTAATTATTTTAATTACCAGAAATACAATCACTTGGTTAAATGATACATATATAAAGTTTTACATTGTTGTATGTGTTGTTGAAATGCCTACTAAACAGGATATATCAACAACTCTTGTCAACAATTATCCGGGTTCCTATTTCTTAGCTTTTAAGCCAATACAATTATATAAAACTCTGATATTTACCCATATGATTGAGAAAAGTGATATTCATTATAGTTTTAATCATTTTTATAGCATAACTGAGTCTGTTGGAGTATTTCTTTATGTGATTAAGGACTTGTAAATTTTTTTCAAACTTTCTGTTCATAACTTTTTCCATTCTCCTGAATTTTTGGTCTGTGTTTAAATGTGTTAGCCTCTACATTTATATTGTGGAAGATAACTTTCTGTGGAATGGATTGTACGTTGGTTTTCAATGCCATGTAAAAAATGAATGCAAAGGTAATGGCTC